AATGTTGTTATTTTATTTTGAAAATGCTTTGAAACCAACTTAGTTGGTTTTTAGTAGAACTATCGGGAACTGTTGCTAAAAGTGCAAATATTAATTTTTTTCTCGTACTTTAGAGGAAATCTGATGTGCCAGATTTGTGTAGTTAGCACGCCATATTTTCAATTTTAGTTTTTTCATATCAAAACTGCGGAACTATTTTTTATTTCTAGGTGGAACTGTAGAACTATGAAAAGTGCTACTGGAACTGTTGTGATTTTTTTTGATATCGACAGAATGTCGTGCCAGCTTCATAGATCCGGCTAAGGCTATCTTTGTCTTCTGATCCCTGATAACGAAGATAGTCTTAGTCACGGTTGCTTTTGGTTAGATAACGAAAAAACTCCTCAATTTATATCTCTGCGGAATCCGTTAAATATAAAGAAAATGACGAAATGGCGGACGAAATAACGTCAATTCCGCCAATTCCGCATTTCCGTAGATCCGCTCCATCTGAGTGCACCCTGATGATTTTTTTATTGATTCTGCCATATTCAGAGAACAAAAGCGATAATAAGGCTAGTATTTATAGTCAGTTCTTATATTAAAAACCGTCTTAAGGTCAGTCTTGAGATGTCACGAACCAATCAGAGGGTTACATTAGCATCTTAAGGTATTACTTAAGATGGTCTTGAAATAGGAACCGATTATGAATATAAACGAGAGTAAAGTAACTTATCACTAAAATATAATACTTACTACTAGAAAGAATACAGTGCTACGCTGCCTTTATTAAAAGTAATCCAAAAGAGAGCGTTCCAAATTGTATCTTTATTCTTTTCAAAGAGCGGTATTCACATATAGTCTTATTTTAAGACCGTTTTAAGTAATGTCTTAAGATGCTAATGTCTGATTGGTTCATGACACCTCAAAACTGAACTTAAGACGGTCTTGAATATAAGAAAACTAACTATAAATACCGGTACTCAGCTATAATTGTGCATGTGCAATAATAATTTAATAATTAAATAATTGTAATATTGTTTGATTCAATTGTATTATTCCCTGCTTATGTTTCCTTTCTTAGAGAGTCAGTGGTGAAGTATCTCGGCAGTCGAATTACAATTATTAGAAGAATTTGAGAAAGAAATATAGGGCTGCAAAAAATGGAAACTGAAGCTTTAATATATGTAGAAGGATATATTGCGCACAGATTCTGTTCCTCACACCCTCATCTCGGTACCAACAGTAGCTATGGAACCACTTGATAGGAATAATTTTTTATCGTGCCAAGGAGTTATTGTATTTACCGTGCAGAGTGTTTCATATTCTTGGCGAATATTATAGAAGAATTTTCAAAATACCATGATCCTAAATTTAACAAACAGTGAGATTTTTGATAAATTAACAAATTGCGTGATTACGAGGGTGGGTAACAATATTTTCCTATATCACGAAAAAAATTAAGAATATAACTGTAATAAGATTATTTAATTCTATATTTGTTAATTTTCTTATTATATATTTTATTTTATTATATATTAATAAACTTATGTGAAAATATATATAAATTGTGAAATATAGCTTAAACATGATATTTTTATCTTGTACTATTATAAATTGAAATTGCCGCTTTGATTTAGCCTCATTTCTGATTGGTTGAAATAGTGAACGGTCGCTATTATACGCAATGCTTCATTTTATTAATTACACCATGGTATATTACATTTAATAATTTAAAGCTTCAACTTCAAGGACCTTAGTATGTCATATAAGAGGTGCATTCAGGAAGATGCAATTAGCGCTATTTGTGACATTCTATCTTTGTTTTACTTTTGATAAATGATGAAGATACAATAACACAAATATAACGTCTTCCCAAATGTATTAACAAAATTTATATTTACACAAATTTACTTTAAAAATATTAAATAAAGTTACTTCTAATAATTACTTTTAAAGTATTTTTAAACAATAAATAATATTTGTAGAAGATAAAGATGGGCCTAAACTGCGTGCGACCTGTTGATCCTTTATGTGCTGTGATACCAAGAAACATTGGGCTCGATGCTTCACCAATTAGAGAATCAGGATTGCCAATTATCTTTCTGATTGGAGGTCCCGGAGCAGGAAAGTGTTCGTTGAATTTTTATTTGTGCATCTTTATATTATATATGAAAAAAACTTTTAAAAAATCAAGTTAATAAAATTAATGTTTTTGTATTTGCAAATTCTTTTATATATATAGCTAATGAAAATATTATTTAATAATTCCAGAGAAATTTAGAATATATTATATAAAATAATAAAATATTAAATTGTTGTGTACTATTAAAGTAATTGTATATATAATATAAAATATATTGCATTTATTAAAATAAAATATATATATTAGCATTTTTCAGCAAGTGATTAGATTTGCCCGCGTATTCTTTACACTTTTTGCACTCAGTACTTTATTTTCTCTCTTTTTAATATCCATATATGCATATTTATTTCGTTTTAATTGTAAAAATGTTTAAAGATTTTAAGCAACGCAAATAAACCTATTATAACCTTGTTGTTTGCTAATATTAAATAAGAATGAAATAATTCACTGTATTCGTTGTATTTTTGCTGGAAAATACTCTATATGTAAAATAAAAGTAAAAATGACAACATTAACTTTATTATGATATTTGAAGATAATGATATGGAACTAGTTTTAATTTGTAATAGAATAACTTTGAGCCTTTCTTTATACAGCGACACAATGTATACGGGTAGCACAACATTACGGTTTTTGCGCCATTATAAGCAGAGAACTGTTGCGCAATGAAATAACTACCGGTTCACAAAGAGGCGTTATCTTAGCTTATTTGATGTCGGAAGGTAAATTAGTTCCCTCGGATGTCATGGTAGAACTAATCAAGGAGAGGATGCTGAGCAGCTTAAATGTTACGCGGGGTTTTCTACTGAGCGGGTTTCCTAGGGAGAAGACACAGTGTCAGCATTTCAATAAACAAATCCGATCACCAGACCTTGTCCTGTACTTATGTGTCAGAGACTCACTACTGATGGACAGAATCCTAGCTAAGACCATCACCGCCACTGAGAGGCAAGAACGCAGTATTGAAGAAAATTGGCAACGAGTTAAGGAACACAGTCGAATGATCAAGCCTATTCTTAGGTATTATAAGAAACGACTAGTGATTATTGATGGCGAAAGAGATGAGATAGAAGTTTTTAGAGACATATGCAGCGCGATTAATAATGTCTTGATAAATTTTCCAAATACATCTAGTAAAAGCAGTTAATTAGAATATGTTTGTTTATATGATAATTATACTGAACTAGTGCTAAGTAATGCATTGATTATTATGCTTTATAAATTAATTGAGAGTTTTAAATTGCATAACGAAAATAAACTGTACTTTGTTTCGTGCGAAAATATTTAAAAAACTATGCTGTATATTAAAATAATTATTATATATATACGTATAGATATTATACAATAATTAATATTTTAACAAATATTACAATAAAAATAACAGGATATTTAAAAGAAAGAAATACTGTTTTTTTAATTATTTCTTTATGTGACCAGTCAATAACAAATAATATTAAAAAATTGATTTAAAGATTACAATTGAGCCATTTCAATTTCGTAAAAAGTATTTTTGGATTTTAGTATTTCAATCGTAGAAAAGGAATTTTAATTTGCGTCTGTGAAACACAAGTCTTCCTTTTTTCTAGAATTAAAATACTCATACTGAGCCCAGCAAAAAAAGTAATAAAAAAAAATAGATGTACATATCAAGATCATTACACACAAAATGACATAAAGCTGCATAGAGCAAGACCTTTAAATTAATGAGCATCTTATGTAAATTGATATAGCGTTTTTTTGTCGGATATTCATTGGTTGAACGGCTTTGCTATGGTTATGCAGCACACTTTATCTGAGATGTTTCTGCGAACGTTCGCCAACCTAGTACCCAACAATTTTCAAATGGAGATTAATCTTCCAAGCAGTTGTGAGAATGCAATTTTGCGGAAGTAACTGATTGAAAAAAATTTGACAGATAGAACAAAAAAAAGTCCGCGTGTTTTGGAAAATCATAACACGAAATTAAAAAAATGCCAAATGCATTAGGTCATCACCGAACGGAATGCATTTGAATGGAGCGATACCTGGACATAGCAAAGAGCCGTGGTCAACAGCTCGGAGCGTTATATAATATAATACATACACTGTTCAAATTTCGATATATTGTAATAACAATTTCATTATGTTAATCACTTACAAAATATTTTAATGAATAATTAAATATACAGGTAATGTTTTTTATTTTGTCATGAATAATTAACATATTTAATATACTGTATACTTGGTAACATTTCTCAATCTTATTCAATGCGTAATGTATAATCGTTCTGAAGTGGCTTCCTTATATAACTATTATATAAGATGAACCAAAATTGCTCCCATAATTATCCAAATAAAGGACATTCATTGAAAGAGATCTCTTTACGGCAAAAACTGAAAGAAATAGAAATTGTGAATACTACTTAATTAAAAGATGTATACTTAATCTTTAAAAACGTTCGTACTTTTATTTCAATTTTATAAATGATCAAATGAGTAAAAAAAGTTTCGAAAAAATAAATTCCTCGATTTTTGTTGTTATTGGTATACTGTTGTATTTGGCCTCTATTTCATTTGTGCGTTTTTATTGTTTCGAGTCTGTGTTGATTGATTATAATAGAGAATAGAGAGATCAAAGGATCTCTCTGTCCTACACGCATTTGTCGTACGACAAAGACGCACAAATGAATCAAATAGCAACCAAAACTCTATCTCTATCTCTATTTTTATAATCATATATCTCTTATAATACTTTATAAACTTATAAAATATATATAATAAATAGAACGCTAGTTTATAAAACATTAAATTTCTTTTTAATGTCATTATTTCTATTTAATCATTAAAACTGTGATTTTTTATTGCTGTTATAAAAATATTGGTGAAATCAAAAAATCTATCTTACCGAAGAACCATATTTGTGGCTGCACTTAATTAATTCGTATGCTAATTCACACCCTTTAAATTTTTGTACTGCAAAAATAAAAGATAAACATGAAAAAATTATACATTACAGAATTTGTGATAATAATAATTATTTTTAATTTAATAAATAGATGTTTTATTTAAAAATCTACACTGTTAAAAATATATACATTAAATTTCATGTAAAGTAACGGAAGCAAATTTCAAGCAGGTACATTAAAATCGTTCAATGTTGTCAATGATCGAGCATAAAATTATAAGTAACTTATTGTTAGATTTAACAATTTTAATGTATCTGCTTGAAATTTGCTTCCGTTACATTTACATGAAATTTCATGTCTTTTTTAACAGTGTATATATATATATATATGTATATATATATATATATATATCAATTTTGCTTACTAGTTGGTAAACAATTTTCCATCGCTTTCATAACATTTGGTACGCTTTCTTCCGCTAGCATGGATTCTACAATATTTTTTATAGCTTTTTCAACTATTTTGTCATTTTTCATCTAGAACAAGAGAAAGATAAATTTATTTACGTAGATAATTATCAAGACTGTAAATGAATCTAATAAATCGAAGAAATTAATTGCCGATAATTGTGCTTTCTGTTGAACACTGTGTAATTGATCGTTAAAATGTTCTGCTGAAGATAACTAAAATGTATAGCCGAAACGCCCGGAAATATTAAACATCAATTTAATAATGGAAATTTCAATTGTTGATGTAATTACGTATTATATGTTTTAGTAAATATTTTTCTATTAATTTGCTCACGTCTTACCGCGCTGACTCCTATTTGGCTGATTTAAATTTTCTTTGTTTTATAGAAATATAAGGAGTCTATTATCAATTATTATATTGAATCTAATAAACTATGCAAACAATATTTTTTATGTAAAAAAAATTGCTAAGTGCTCATAACGCGTAAGATATTTTTATATGCAAGTTTTTTTTATCAATATCAATTTTGTTTGTTTTATAAATAAGTTCGAAAATATCTATTCCATCATTAATTTCTTATTGTTATATGTATAAAAGGTCACATTATGGCGAATCTGGACAACTATAAATGTCCGTAATAGCAAAAGTAAACAGCAGTTTATATTACAAACAGAACTTATTTCTATTTTTTAAAACATATTTATTGAAATTATTGAAATTTTACTTACGATTTTTGTATTTAGCAGTAAACACTTATAGTAACATTGTAATCTCCAATCCGGTACGAAAATACCTTTGTTTGCGTCGTCGATCATTTCTAAGTATAAATCAATATTATAATCTTAAATATATTTTTTACTTCTATTATATTAATTTTTTTAAATCACTTTTACTCTATATACATAGTGTCCCAGACCTATAGAATCACTTTATCATTTTGCAATTTTCACAATACTTTAGAAGATATTAATTTCTGAAGATCTTTGAATAAGCATACGTGCTGCGCGGATTACCGTCAAGTATACGCCTATTGCATTAGTCGCAGTTGCTTGTGCGGAAACTATACTATAGGTGCACATTAAGTACAAAGCGTCATAAGGCTGGGTTCACAACCTCGCTTTAAAAGGCCCTAAGTCGTAAAGCCGTAAGAAATTGACTAATCACAGCTGATTATTTTTTTTGCTCGCAATCAACTCTAATTGGTCAATTTCTTACGCCTTTTCTCTTAAAACAAGATTGTGGACCCAGCCTAACTGAAGCAATCTCTATTCCTTGTGCAATAAGCGATCGCGACTGTTGGGTGCATACTTGACTATAGTCCGCGTGGATATGTGCTTCTTCAAGGATTTTTAGAAATTAAATATCTTTTAAAATATTGCAAACATTGCAAAAAATTATGAAGGACTTTTTGATTTAGTTCAGTCTGTTGTACCTGCTCACGAGAGGCAATCCCGTAAGTCGGAGACATTCTGTATATCATGAGAAACGTTTATTACGCGCGCGCGGACATACACATTTATTACGTATTTAGGGAATGGAAGTAACTCGTTACTTGTAACGAAGTTACAGTTACAAGTTACTTTTTTGGTAACTTTACTGGTAGCTGCGTTACTTTCTTTTTTTGGTAACTGTAACGGTAACGAGTTACATTTTTTGGGTAACGGTAACGAAATTTACAGTTACTTTTGTCGTTACTTTGCACACGATTGAACACGGTTCGATTGGATACATGCTATTTAGCGCTTATCAATATGACTTGAAAGCCCTTAGACATTCGGCCGTTATGATTCAGTAATTATTTTACACTTCTATCTTCTATGTAATACATAGGACATACAAATATTTCAGTTTGCTGCATATTTTACAGGTTTTAGAATTACAAAATTGTGTTTAAAAAAAATTAAAAAATAAATTAAATAATAGTAAAATGAGAAGGGTTATGAACCCAAAAGCGAAACAGTTTAAAAGACGATGACAATAAGTGTCGAAACGTCGTTTGTTTTTATCTTGGTATTGTTCTAATATATATTTATACATTTAATTACATTGTCATCGTCGTTCTTATCGGAAATAAACTGTTTCATTTTTGGCTCGTAACCCTTCTCATTTTATTTTTATTTAATTTATTATTTGAGCCATTCTACATTGTTTTTTTTTTTTTTTTTTAAACTGTATACTTGTCAGTATTACATATAAAAAAAAATGCAAAAGTACATTTTTAAATTGATTTTAAAAAAGTAACGGAAAAGTAACGAAAAGTTATTTTTCAAGTAACGGTAACTGTAACGAGTTACTTTTAAAAAGCGATAACTGTAACTGTAACTAGTTACATTTTTTACTCGGTAACGAGTAACTGTAACTAGTTATTTTTAAAAAGTAACTTTCCATTCCCTGCGTATTTTATATATCAAAAATTTAAGTTTAAAGCCAATGATATAATATAAATCAATATTTAAGATTGAAGAAAATTAAAATTCAATAAAACAGTAGTTTTAATTTTCGTAAATAATAAAATTAGTCTATCTCTTAATTAATATCAATCTAATTAATCAGTATAAATCTAAAAAGTTTTAGTTAAATTAAAAAAATTTACATTTTGATTTAATGTATAATGTGATGTAATACAAGAAATATATAATATTTCACATAATTAATAACATACTTTTAGGTATTTGAATTATTATTATGTATCTTGATATCAGTCAAATATCAAATACATTATATATTATTAAATTTTGTCTAAATTAAAAAACATTGTTATATAATTATATTGTCTAAAAATTTTGATGTACGTTTGGTTACATTACATAAAAATTTATAACATTATATAAGACTTCAGTTTTTTGTAGAACATACTTGGATCCGTGCCCACTTTATCAATGCAAAGCTTTCTTAGTGGTAGTAGAGCTTCCTTCGTCTCCTCAATGGACAATCTTTTCTATAGAATTAAAAATAATTTAGTAATATTGTGAGTGAAAAAATACGAGACTCTAATACGTCTTAACAAATAAAATGTTTAATGTTTTGTACGATTTTTGGGGCATTTCAGATACTTTATAAAAAATTAAACTAATGAATCTTTATCGATTTCATGTAAAAAATAATTTGTACTAAAAGGATTGAAAAATTTTATCTTGAATTTTTTGAATAACATCATGCATATTTTCATAATATTATAGTTATCTTCAAGATGAATTCAACTCATATATTTTATTAATGTTTAATATCAAATTTGTTTTTTACATTATATATTTTATTTAATAATATTATTTATTAGCTGTGTAAGTAATATATCTTCAAGAAAGAATAATTACAACTTGTAAAATTATCGATCCAAAAAGTAAAAGATTTAGTGCGAGATTTATCAAAGAAATATTCTAAGAACATCCTTAGACATTTAAAAAACATATGCATATTCTCTGAACATCTTTAGTTCCTTAGAAGTTTATAAGTATATGTAGTAATTTTTGAAAAATATGTATATATGTAAATAAAAATATATGTATATGTAAATATTAAATATTTATAATATAAGAGAAATGTCATAATACCAAAAAATATTTTAACTCTTTTACCAAGTAAAGGTATTATTTTTTTTCATCATTAGGTGTGTGTATATATATATATATATATATATATTAACAAATTTTATATTAAATTTTATATTATTTTTTTTTCAATTTGTTGTTTTTAATTTTGAAAATATTAAGTTATTTTTGTAATAATTCATTAATATTAAATATTTCTAATATTAAATTATAAATATTTCATGGATATGCAACAAATTCGTATTTACTTTAAGAAACTTACACTTTCGCTATTTTGAAGATTTGCCATGAGTATGAATGAAATGAAGAAAATCGTACCAGTGCCTTTCATTCTTATTTGTTGCCTTTGATTTTGTTTGTTCATTTAATCTCTTTTTTAGCACGATATAGATGAATCGCTACTAGACCCGACTGTTGTAAATCTCACGCAAAATTCATTCGTTTATTTTTATATGCGGAAGTAAGAAAGAAGGAGAATTATTAATTTCATGAGGTGGCATATCTGATAGACTTAAATTATCATTTTGGTGATGTAATTAACGATACTTAACGCTAATACTGACATCCGGGTCTTATTGTCATTCCTAGAGGTTAGATAATCATAGTACATTATGCAAGTGCGTTACTTTTGGTCTCATAATTATGTCTTTAATGATGCAAAATGCATAAAAAAATACATATCAAAAAGACAAGAGATGATTTTCTTCCTTAGAAATAACATTTACTAATAATTATCTAATTACAGTTCTTTAACTTTAACATTTTGAACTTATATTTTCCTCTTATAACGTATCTCTTTTCAATTATTATTTTCATTTATAATAATGTGAAATTATTTTTACCATAATTTTCTTAATTTTCGTTTTATTTGCCTTAAAATTTCAGCGCAAAAAGTGATGTTTTTAATAATATTGTTGAGAGTCTAACAAAAAAAGTATATTTACTAAAGTTTTGTGTACTTGATATACACTCTTTATCTTATTGTTAGTGTAATTTTTTAATGAAATTTTTATTAATTTTAAACAAACGATCGTTAATGACTATTATTATTTTGTTATTCTAACGCTGCGGTATTTAAAATCAATTAGTTAATTTTAATAATTAAATAATACGTATACTATAATTGCACATTACTTATTATTATTATCATTAACATATAATTATGTTAAGTTATACGTGCATGCAGTATTGTATATTGTACCTTGTTTTATCATTTTACAAATCTATCAATTTACAAATTATTAACGACTACTGCAGAGTTGTCTCCGCATAGGATTGAAATTAATACAATTTTACAATTTATTTAACGCTAAACATAATTACACTTTTTCATTATTTTTATATTATAATATATCATATTCTATTTCCATAACTATTTTCGTTTGACATCAATTAAGGAAAGAAAAAGTGATTCGGATCCGTTTGATAGCTGCATTTTACAAACTGATAAGTTGTTTCGCAATCATCGCCAGCAGGTGCTGTAAAAACATGAGAATTTTATTTACGCATCTACTTTTAGGTTATAATTTGTTTTTATACTAATTAACTAATATATATATATATAAAAATTATTTTTTATAAAGGTTTCTATGCATAATAATTTGTTTTTATAATAAGCATAATACAGATTTGTTTTTAAGATTAAAAAAATAAGATTTTAAGAATCTTTTATCTTTGCCAGCTGTAAAATTAGCTTATGTTTATAAATTTTTTAAATAAAATCTGTTATATATATACACACACATACGTATGTATAAAATACAAGTTTTTGCATAGAATTACCAAATTTAACCCAATTTAAACAATAAAAAATATTTTACTTATTAAAAAATGCATTATAATGCTTCAAAATGGCGATCAATGTATGGACTATCTAAAAAAATACACCTGTTGAATATGACTCAGTTTTTACAAATTATTTGAAACTAAAGTTCCTTTGATTTTCATAAGTATTGTTCGTTTTGTCTCTCGGGAACTGCTCGGAGTCACTCCGAACGAATCCAGCGTACTTTGGATGTGATCCATTTAATGTTGCAAATGCTTCGTTGATCAATCAGAAGAAAGAATTTTACGAATTGATCAATCAAAGAATGTTTCGAGGTATTTACAGCATAAAATTGATCGTATCCAAGTACGCTGGGTTGGTTCGGAACGACTCCCAAAAGACAAAACGAACAATGCGATTGACTGTATGAATGACGCTATGGCAGGAACTATGATAAAACGAAGTCAATTGAATAAAAATGATAGTATCTAAAAGAAAAAGAAATTTGATTTTTATCGAAAATATTTGTCAACAAACGTTTTAGTGCATTTAAAGTTATATATTTTAAAATGTCGGAACTATATAGTAAAATCTTCCTTTTCTTTATAAAAGGTATTTTCCGTCAATTTTTTAATTAACGAACAATTTTGGATTTTTTTTAAAGGAAAATAATGTACGATAATTTGTGTCCTTCACGCGTTGCAGTTTATCTTTTTCATCGGCATATTTGTACTTTTGCTATTTGTTCGATATGGATTCTCAAGATGTTCGTTACTTTCAGTAAATTTCTAAAACCGCAATTAAATGTGCACTGCGGGCAGATTGTACGACGCTATGCATGACAAAGAACGAGACTCAAGTAGTCCTAACGGTTTTTTTGCCTTCTCTCTTCTAAACTGCATAGCATATACAATAGAAAGTAGCAGTTATTTTCAATGATCTCTAAAATCGTTAAAGAATAAATTACAACTGATATCTATTGATTTCTTCTAAGTAGTAATCTAAGTAAAAACTTGAGTAGCGTCTACAAGCGCTGTTTAGTTCCAGTAAGCATATGGAAAACTCGTGCACGTTTGCGTATTTCTGTTTGTACGTTTGTAGTTTAAGTGCAAATTAAAAAAAAAATTTACAAGAATATTTTACACATATAAGAATAAAAATCAATAAAAAATCGTTTTTTGAAGCTGTCAAAGGTAAAAGACCTTTTAATTTTATAACTCTTTTTTCTCGCATACCTTTTTTTATCTTTTTATTTAAAATTAATTTTAATTTTAATTTTTTAAATAAAATTAAACTTACGTTCTGCTGCACATTTAGTCAAAGATACTTTTAAAGGAGCTGCCATGTCAGGTGGCATCATTAGATCCATTTGTTTAATCATCATGACATCATCTACGCGTCCATTTTTAAACTTGTAAGAAAAATTCATTTAAATAGTTATACATATAAATACCAAATAATAAAAAAAATAATATTAAATAATAGTGAAAAATTAATATATTATATTAATTTGCATTATTATAATAAATTATTTAATAATCACAATTTAATAACTATAGATTAACATATTTTATTATGAAGCACTTGCAAATGTGTTCAAGATTAAATATTAAAGTATATATGTTTTTCTTAATAATATTATTTAATTATTTTTAATTTTATATTTTATTTATTATTGTATTAAGTAAGGTAACTTTACCCAATATACGGTTTAACATTAAATACTGTACTACTTGTGTTGTTAAATGAATAGTTATAAATCTTTACTTTACATGTAAATGTTGAAAAATGTCTCATATTCTCAGTTATTTTGATTGGACACTACTAGTTTTCAATATCGAACCCAACAAGAATCGTAATAATTAAGTAAATCATATTGAATATAGTTATATTTTTTCTTGTTCTTACAGTTCGCATTGTCTTCATTACACATAGTGTATAGCATTTTAATGGTTGATTATCATCTGGAAATTCGCCTTTTTGTATTGCTGCAACAGCTCCTACAAACAAAAAAATATAAAAAATCGTACAATGTTGAAGTTGTAACAAAATTTAATAGACAAATAATAATATTTAATAATCATTAAATTTATGATTGTGGATAAAATACAATAGTATTTTTTACCAAATCTCTCCAAAATCTCTGAAAAAAGATTATCACAGTTTACAATTTTACAACATTGCCAATTAAATAAATAAATTAAATAACTCTCATGTAAAAAATTTAGAATTGTGCCTAATAATGTTGATGGTATTTTAAAACTGGTAAATAATTAATTTACAAAGATTAAAATTTTACAATAAAATGCCGGTATACTTTCTTTTTATTTGTATGTAAATACGAAGAAGAATAGCATACGGCTACAGAATAGTTTTCAATCGAAGGTGACATTTGGTTCCGTAAACAAGAATTAAAGCAGAATTTACTGTAATTGTACAAGCGGATTATACGTTTCCGTATAATGTGCGTTATTCGATTTTATATCTAATTATAAAATATTGTTTTATTCTTATTTTTATCAATAATATTTTTATCTTTTATTTTTATAAAAAAGAGTTACTGAATACATTGTAATCGTATAAATCATACACAACCTATTTGTAGAACTTGTTTTGTTAATAACTTTTTAACGACGAAAATTTCTTTAGTCCACGTTTATGGTCTTGATAATATATGTCAAAATAAAATAATTGAAAATATTAATTAAAAAAATGGACTGCTTATAATTAAATATAACAATAATAATTTAAGCGGCTGTTTAGGAGTCAGCGTAGTAAGACAAGCGCACACATTAAATTCTAAAATATACTTTAGTATAGTTTAGAAGTTACAAATATATTTGGACGTTTCGGTCATTGGTTTTGGCTATCCTCAGCAAAAGTGTACAATATAAAAAAATTCTAGCTTCGTTGGTTATTGTTCATCAGTTATGTAAAACCCATACGGCAAGCACAATCATTCGCCTTTGAAATTAATAAACTTCCTAGTGATATGATTTTGTCTTTTCTGTACAAAATTAAATGTGTGTTATATAATAATTAACTTAGATAATAATAAGCAAAAAATCTGAATTACAAAAGGTTAAATTATACATAGGTTAAAATTATTTCTCAATTTGATGTAACGTATAATTTATTTAATATGTGCGTGTAAATTCGAATGATGCACAATAACCAACAAAGCTAGAATTTTTTCTATATTGTACACTTTTGCTGAGGATGGCCAAAACCAATGGCCGAAACGTCCAAATATATTTGTAACTTCTAAATTATAGTAAAGTATATTTTAGAATTTAATGTGTGCGCTTGTCTTACTGCGCTGACTCCTAAATAGCCGCCTAAATTATTATTGTTATATGTCAAAAGGTTAAGGCCATGGAGGAGAGATCCTCCTTCCTCCATCTTCATTTTCATCCTGTTTATTGATACGAAGAGGACCCAAACTAATGGTCGAGACGTGTACTTGTATCAGTTGCATAGAATCAAATTTATATACATTTCCTGTGTTAGCTCAAAATAAAGCAATTATAATTAGTGATTTATACCATCAGAGTTTATATTATTATTTTATTTTCCTGAATTATATATATATATATATATATAATATAATAATGTTTAGTTCTCCAGCTAATCCATGTTAAATTATAAAATGCGCCACTCAAGTACGAGAATATTCACGAGAAAAACGCGTTTTTACGTATTATTTAATTTACCGGTAAGAAAGAATCGTTTTGAAGCAGCGCGGCATAGTTTAAATAAGGCTGGGTCCACAACCTCGCTTTAAGAGGCTCTAAGTAGTAAAGCCGTAAGAAAATGACCAATCATAGTTGAATACGAGAAAAATAATCGATTGTGATTGGTCAATTTCTTACGACTTCTTTTACGGCTTAGGGCCTCTTAAAGCGAAGTTGTGGACCCAGCCTAAGGTGGTAAGATAAAAATTAAGACATTATGATGTAAGCAGTAAGCGTATTGATCAATCATAGTTGAATGCGAAAAAAATAATCAACTGTGATTGGTTAATTTCTTACGGCTTAAGCCTCTTAAAGTGATGCTGGACTCGCCTGTATTATCGATAAAACAAGCGTTTTTGACGTTTTCGTTCCTGTCAAACCTCTTCGCAGTAGTTTCACAGAATAAAAATTCCTTTTCCACCTTAAAGCGAGGTTGTGGACCCAGCCTTATGCTACAATGCTAGGTACAGTGGCGTAGCCAAGGGGGGGCTGTGGGGGCTGCAGGCTGCAGGCTGCAGCTCCCTTGAAATTCTGAATAATTTCAATAATTTCATAACTAATACGAATACGAAGCCTATAACAGTCTATAGCTGGATCTTAGTTGCTTATATATAATTTTGCGTGAATTTATACACTGGTATATGTAGTCTTCCTAAACTGCGCGCAATTATGTTGTTACATTGACGGTCTTTAGAATTTAATATTGTTCAATAATTTCATAAGAATATGTAAAAAATTGTTGAGCCGTAAATATAAATTTGTTTTGAGAGAGGAATTAAATCCTGTTGGGATAATTCTTATATTTAAATTAGTTGCAAAAATATCGTTTATTATGTATTAAAAATTTGTTGATTTTTTTTTGTATTTGGCATGTAAACAAAAATTCAATAAATTACGCGGAAAAAAATGTTGCTGCATAACCGCAAAAAGTGGCATCGGGAGAACGGCAGCACTTCAAGTCATAAAATCTCAGCTGGATAATATTTATATTATTCAAATTTTTACTCTATAATCTTTTTTACTATTATATATTTTTAATGTCGTTAATCGTAATGTAATATACAAATTGTCATAAATATTAATATAAATTATGGAACATTAGCATAATTTACCGGCGTCTGCGTGAGATTTTGTTGTACACGAATTTCGCATAGTAGCAGCAGCTTTTTCAATTTGTTCCATCGTCATTACCTATATTATAATAAAATTTAATTTGCATATTTTTTGTTTTTAGTAGAATAATATAATATGTAATATACATCAAATAGTTTATCATTAATAGTGTACAGTAATATCTATTTTTTATAGAATTCAAGAATATTCTATATTTTTTCTTAACATCTTATAAATTATTTTGCAATTTAAAATACTTTTTGAATATGCATAAATTTGAAATTTAATTGTTTTACTTAAAAAATAGAATTGTCTATGTAATAAGTTATTTAATACATTGTATAACTTACAGCATTTGCTCGATCCACTGCGATCACCATAATTGTAATGGTACAAATTAGTAAACGCGCACACATTTTAAAGTATTTTCGATTATGCAAAAAACAGAAGTAAATTTAAAAATCTAAAGTATTTCCTCGAATTATCAATGAAATAAAGTTACCAATCCACTGTAATTAACCTTCGTTCCTCTTTTCTAAAGACTGAGGTTGTCAACAAGTTGTTCGTGGTTAATATATGTAGTGGTAATTTCGTTTGGTAGCTTAATTTCGTAGCATTTGTCCGTATAAAATACATAGTTTATGCAGAAATTATGTCGAGACGAGGTAAGAAGCTTCCGCGATTTGTCATATTGAAGAAAGAATTAACAATTTGCTACATACAATGATATATCATTAAACCGTTTCAGTTGTAAATGTCTGCAGATAATTTGCGATCTTTCAAAATTAAAATGAAGAAATACATAAGGATCTGGTTTTAATTATGTATGAACGATTCTGGCTTTAATATTATATAAGGTATAACTATATTACGTATAACAAGTATGTGACTATTAATTTTAAAAATACAAAATGTTTACAGGTATAGAAGAAAGTGTAAGAGAAGACAGGAAAAACTGCAATTATAAACTTGCCAATGAATAACTTTTGCTAGTGGCAGCATATTTGAGTAAAAAGAGTGGCAGTTCGAGGTCAATGATTTGTTGTAAGAGCGCCGCCGCTAAAATAATTTGATGTTAATTTAGATCCCTATAGAAAAATTTGATTAAAATGTCAACAAAAATGCTAACTTGAATGTTTAATTCTAAATAAATAAAATTTTTTTTCAGTTTTAAAGCAATCACGTACGAACACGACAAGTATAAATACCAAACTTTTAATTTTCATATATTTTGTTTATCTACATTTTTTTCGCGACCGCTTAAGTATAATATGACAGAAATTTTATAAGTATTAAATAAGGAGTATTAAGACAAATTCAGATTAAGACATTCGATTTTATAGACGTTCAGGATATACTATATATGACTAATTGAAAAACGTATACATTGTACATATATTTGTATTTATAATCAAGAAATAGAGTGAGAAAAAGATCATAGCTAAGTCAATCATATCACTTTCTCGTTTCTATTCTTAATAATGTTTATATGCTTGTCTAGCAGTCTTCTGTGTCCAAATATTTATTATACTTTACATGTTTCATACTTTTGAAAATATTTGGAATGCATGGCTGAAGTTTCGGCAGTCTGTGATTAGAACTATGACTTTGATATAACATATAACTTAGCTGAGCTTTGACAGTTTAAGCGACGCATTATCTTTGAAATTTATGTTCTTATGAAGTCTCTGCAACATCTTGCAATCCATGTTCTGCTTCTTTTTTCTTTGCCTCATCCACGAGAATGGTATATTTTTATGTTTGTCGGGTATGGGGAAATTTCGAGGAAAACTTTGAAGACAAGAAAGTTTCAACAAATTATTTCTACACCTGAGTCCTCAATCTCAATATCTTATCGTTAAAACATTCACATTGTACTTGATGTATACAACGAGACTATAAAATTATTTATTCTTATTCTAAATGCAATCATAAAATAGGCAACACGTTATTTGAGGATAATGTTCATTTATGTGTGTGTGAGAATATTTAATAATAACTGAAATATAATTAATATTTTTAAATCGTTAATCTCTTAATTATCAACACTAACTTTTTCTCATTTTTAATAATACTCATTATAATTTTCTTTTATAATTATAAGTAATTTTCTAATGTTTATCAGGATTTAATATTTATTCGATACATGTGATTGTTTTCATTCATTACATTTTCACTCACCTTTAGAGTAAATCTCACTAATTAATATTAGAATTGTCCTGTTTTACCGATAAAATGTGAATAATTTTTAGATTCTTCAATCTTTTATTAATATAATAATTGCATCTACAAATTAAAAAAATATTTCTTCACAATTAAAGTATAGTCAAAAACACAGTGCGTAAGCAACAATTTCAAACAAAAAAAATTGAAAAATTGTAGTTTTGTTATCGACTTCTGCAGTCGATTCACGATATATGTGCTGCATATAATAAAGTTTTGAGATTTTGTACGTTTTAAATATAAGTTTATATTCCATTATAGATTGTACAAAAGATCAATACTAATGCTTGTCGAAATGAGGTAGAAGCTGTATAAAAGAAAGAACAATTAAAAAATTTCATCGGAATGCTGCGATTAGTAAAATCGGTGTGAAAGTTTAACAGGACAGTAGGTATCTATAGTAGTAGGTAACATATCTTGCAAGAGATGGCGTTGTAATATTTTAGACAAGGACAGATGTACGCATTTCCGATAAAAAATAATGCAATAAGAAACTAAGTTTGAAATTAAAAAGTCTATATTATAATAATAACTAAGAAAATAAAAGATTTCTCAATATTAAAAAATAACAATTGTTTGTAACGTTAGTACCAAAAATGATTTAATAGAACAGCAAATATGTTCTATTAAATTATTTAGTAACGTTTATTATAATTTAGTTTTGGAATCTTTATTATTTCTTTTACTCTTATCGCCTTTAATATCACACAATTGTTATCTTTTTTTTTTATTATTGGATATCGATCACACGTTTGGCGTTTCAGAGTATTAATCCCTTTAAATATTCAAAATTACTTTTCTAAAACTAACTCAATTACTTCGAATTTTAAAAGTGAAATTTCTCTTTAAAGAATTTAGAAAGTTTGTATGCCGCCATATTATTTATTATACTATCAATTAAGATTATTAACTTTATTATATTCCTATTCTTTTTTTATTATTATTGTTATAATTATTTTAAGTCTATATATCACATAATTTTATTTATTACTTTTCCATTTTCTTAAAAACCATTTTTTTGTCACGTTAACTATATTTCCACTTTTATAGTCTCTTTACCCAAGCATCATTCGTCTTGGCATTGATCCATCTGATGGTTCTTCTTCTGAAAGAATATATAAATATTTTTAAGTTACGAGAGAGAGAGAAGAGAGCGAGCAAGGCTGGATCAGGAAGGGTATTGAAAGGGATCGACGTTGCAAAGAAGCACACTGGGGCGGAAAAGATTTGTGATAAAGGCATGTGGATTTTACTGACGCAACTATATAGCTATTGAACTTCTTTCGAAATTACATGGTCGCATGCTTTGCCGTAAGAAAAAGTTATTACAGCGGGAAACCGGAAGACAAATGGTCATTTGCAAAGAGCTTTGCGCTAAATTGAGAAAAAACCTCGGAAAAAACACTAATAAAAGCGTGAAGATCGAAGTTCGTAGAAATTATTATTTATGATTAAATGTTGCATGTTTTGGAATTATAAATGAGGTCAAATAGAATCGTAGTCACTAAAGTTTTAAAGATATTTATATATACTGTGGATTAAAATTTAAATTATCATACACAATTATATGTTATTGCGGAAGAATCCTATGTTTTCCCACATTCTCGATTACACATACCATTCACATTGGTACCTAGTAATTTTTCACTGCTTTACCAAAGAGAATTTTTTTTTCAATTGGCCAATTAACGATATATAATCGAAGCCCTCCCATTATTATTTATCTTATTAAACATACACAAGTTATATACATATTTAATTTTTTATACATTTTTCTATCATTTTATTATATTACTTTATTATTCTGTGTCTTATTATTTATTTAAAATATAATTATAATTGTTTTCGTGTGTGTTATATTTTGTATTCTTTAATAACATTAATAATATTAATTTGTGATATAATTTTAGAAATCAATAATACTTGAGGAAAACATAACTATAATATATTTATTTAAAATAAGTAGCAAACACAAAATTGTCAAATCTGTAATTGGCTTGGAAAGAAAAAAATTTACATTTAATAACGTAGTTTAAGAATCATTGCTAACTTTAAGTTCGCGACAGAGGCTTATACTGGACAGTATTGAATTACATGGAATCAGGTGGTTTCCAGGAGATTGAACACATCGACCGAGCATGAAAAGCATTTACGATTTCCACTTTCCGGACACGAAAGAAACTTTCTATTCGCAACAGTGCCGGAAGGAAAAGCTTTTATTGCCACCCCATTTGCGAGACATGTAGCTGGTATATACAGAGTGAACCATATAATTCACAATCAGAGAGAGTTTGCAGTAAAGTATTTAATCTTTTTGTTTTAATTATATAAAATTTAATTTTTAAGTAGCTTATATATGATGATTACATTTCACATTTTATTACTTGTTTTTTTTTTTTAAAAAAGCAAGTAAATATCTGACGAAAAATTTGTATGAAAATAATAGTATGAAAAGGTACATTGTTTATTCCATATATACGAGATCGTATTCTAGAACAGAATTAGGCCCATCAATTTAAGCCCTGAATGAATAGTTATGTATAAATCATGTATTAATTGACACGGGATATTCATATAGAGACAAAACGAAAGGTTTTAAAAATGAACTCTGATGGCTTCAACATGATGTTATTCCTCTTAATCTCGACCCATGGTATACATATAAAACGTAAGGTAATAGGACATAATCAGTAATTGATCAATCACACTATAGGGACATATAAAATGCTTTATTATAGTATATGTTCTATTGTGATTGGCCAATCATGCTTAATTATTACCTTACGTTTTTCTATATATTTCTGACTTTTCTACTCCTCTTACAGCTCTCTAGAATATTGTTAACTGCCCTTGCTAGCATATGGATGTCTTCCAGATACCATATAACTGTTCAGAGATATCGCCGTCATCGTAATCCGAATATCTTTGACATGATGGCATACCATAGATGGCATACCATAGATTTTGAACTTAAATAGATTGAATGAATAATACCAAATGCATTTCAAATATTACTTCAATACCATTAGCGCATTCCGTTATCTCTGTGCGGAAGTAGTGCTTCGAATTCAGAGAAGATCGACCAGTGGCACATGGTATATATAACATATATATAATAACGAAATTTGGACAGCTCTTAATATTTAGGACAATATTTCTAACAGACAAGGTTGTGTCTATGGAACTTTTTAAT